GATTCTTTCATTGTTTTACAAACCCTCCCCCAGGTCCCCTCCACCATGTAGCCCTCACTCTAGACTCCTGTGATGACAGAAGTACCTAGTCATATATCATGAGTAATTTTTGAATGCTTTTATTTTACCGCTTTGTGGACACCCTTTTTAAAATTTTTTTTATTTTACATTGGTTTGCATACAAAGTTCGTATACATTGTGTTTCGCTCTGTCCTTCATTAACATGTTTCATACACTCATTATCATTCATTTTGTTTTATAAAATCAATCACTGTTAAACTATGCCCACCAACACCCTGTCTTTCCAGATTTCTGCTGGATCTTTCCCATTTCCTTTACCCTCCCAACTCCACCTGCCAAACTGTGCAACTTTATGATTTCCCCCGCCCATCCTCACCCCTCTTTCCCCACCTCTTCCTCCCTTGGACTCCCATACGTGTTTTACTAGTTACCCTGTGGACACCCTTTTTAAGTCTTGCAATGAGGCACACGCTCATGTGGTCCCGATGATGGCGTCCAGGAGTCCTGTCCTAGTAATCCCAATGGGGGTCCTGGTTAGGACTGCTCCTGCATCGGTATGCGGGGTAGGAGCCTGGTGATGAATCCTGTCAGCGTGCGTCTGAGCTAGAGTCCAGATACAATCTTGATTCTCTGGGGTGAGGGTGGAAGAAAGGATAACACGGAGGTCATGCCAGTTAGTTCATAAGACTGGATGTTTTGGGGCTGTTGTTATTATTAGGTATGGTTGCGTCAAATCTGACTCGCAGCAACTCAGTGAACAAATGATCTGCACCTTGTTCTATCCTGTGCCGTCCTCACACTTCCTAGCACACGAGAGCCCACTGCAGCAGTCACTATATCATTCCACCTCGTTGAGGGTCTTCCTCTCCTTCGCCAACCCTCTACACTTCCCAGCATCGTGTCCTTCTAGCACCTCCTAGCAGTGTGCCCACAGTATGTGAAGCAGGCTTCATCATTCGTGCCTCCAAAGAGCGCTCTGCCTGCCCTTTTTCCAAGACATATCTGTTTGTTCTCTTTGTTGTCCATGGGATGTTCAGGGCTCTTCTCCAACACCACAGCTCAAAGGTGTCAATTCTTTTCCTGTCATCCTTATTCATTGTCTAACTTTCAGATGCATAGCAAGTAATCGGAAGGACTGTGGCCTAAATCAAAACGCACCTTAGTACTCAAATTGACATCATTATTCCTCAGTAATTTGGAGAGATCCCTAAATGCAGAGTTTCCCAGTTAAATGTGACTCCTTATTTCCTGACTGCTGGTACCAAGGGTGTTAATTCATCATGATGCTGCCTATCGGTTCAGTGGGATGAGGTCTAAAATTATAAGAGGGAAGGTTTTCTGGAAATGAGTCAAGTTTTTGGTTAATATGAGAGTTTAGTAAAACCCAAAGGAACAAGAATATTCACAAAGCCTTCTGTTCCTGCTATTTCCTGAAGGGGGCACTCTAACACAGGCACTGAAGTGGGACTTGGGCCAAAGATCACACCTGAGCAGGTGGGGGCAGGAAAAGAGAACGAAGCCACAGAAAGCTGGAAAAGGCAGTTTGACACCAACTCTAGTAGTGCTGTTGTTGTTGTTGTCAAATAGTCTGTGACTCATAGCGACCCTATGTACAACAGCCCTAAACCCTGCTCTATCCTGTGCTAATCTTAGTGTCTCCGACACACCTACCCCCATTACCCTAGTCACTGAGTCAATGCACCTCATAGAGGGTCTTCCTCTCCTGCTCTGTCCCTCCACCCTCCCAAGCATGACGTTCCTCTCCAAGGACTGATCCCTCCTTGCAACATCCCTCCTTGTCAGATGAAGCCTCAGAATCTTTGCCTCCAAGGATCAGCATGGTTTAACCTTCTTTAGGATGAACCTGTTTGTTTTCTTAGCAGTCCACTGTATATTCAATACTCCTCCCAACACCACAGCTCAAAGGCATCCATTCTCCTTCTGTTCTCCCTAGTCATTGACTAACTCTCTGACACATAACAAGTGATTGCAAAGACCATGGCCTGTATCAGGTGCACCTTAGTCTCCAGAGTGACACCATTGCCCTTCAGTACTTTGGAGAGTTCCCTAACAGTAGACTTTCCCATCGCAATAAGTCTTTTCATTTCCTGGCTTCTGGTGCCAAACTGTGAACAATTTCAATCTCTTCACCATTTGTCCTGATTCTGCCAGTTGACCTAATGGGAGAATCTTTGTCTTCTTGATATTGAGCTTCAATCCATATTGAAGGCTGCAGTCCTTGACCTTCTGTAGCAAGCGATTCAGGTCCTCCTCAGTTTCAGCAAGCAGGGTTGTGTCATCTGCATAACACAGACTGTTGATGAGTCTTCCACCAATCCTGATGCCACACTTCTCCTCATAGAGCCCAGCCTCCTGGATAATCTATTCTGCATACAGGTTGAAAAGGTATGGAGTAGATAACTTTATTCTCTGAATATAAGTGATTGAACTTCTCAGATGCAGACTCTCTAGAACTTCGTGTTAAATTCTGTTTATTGTAAATATTGATGGTGAACTGGTGTTTGTCCATGTGTGCCTTCTTCTAGGAACCTGTTACGTTCGAGGATGTGAGTGTGGACTTTACAGAGGCAGAATGGAAGACACTGAGCTCTGAGCAGAAGAACCTGCACAAAGAAGTGATGCTGGAGATGTACGGGAATCTTCTGTCCTTAGGTGACTCTCGGCTGCTCTCTCTTCTTCCACAATTCAGTAGATACGCATTGCAGTCCAAATATGGGGAGAGGACCCAATGGTTATGGTTTTGGCTGCTAACAAAAATAGGGGGATTTGGACTTTTCTGCCAATTCATGGTAGACCAATTCATGTATTGACCTCTCTAAAGCATTACAGAGTTAGAATTCCCAGAGGTAGTACTCCGGTATCATATAGTGTTACTAGGTAAGTCAATCAACATTTTAGCAAATTTTTTTCCACGTGTTGAAAATTGTCTTCTCTGAATTATTGCTCTGAATATAGCTGTTTTAGTATCATCCATTTACATCCAAATTCTCAACCTGTGTCGTCGAGAGGATTTGAAAGCCAGGTACACTGAAGAGGGGAGACATGGCCGACATGCTTTCTTTTTATAATTTTTTTTAAATTTTTATTGTATTATTTTTACCGTGTACCGTCAAATCAGATCTGACTGGTACAGGAGGAGGTTGCCCCCTCCTTCTCCAGCAGAGCGTCTGGTGGATTTGAACCGCTGACATGCTTTCTGATTGTGATTCTTAACTGTAGTTTTTGAATCTTGATCCTGAGTTGTATCCTTTTCCTTCCTAATATGTCACTTAATTGTGTGTAGATTATGTGAATATTATGTGATTTTTGCAACTACTTATTGAGTGCAGGACAGAATCAGAGAGTCCTATGGACAGTCCTATGATGGATCATGTCAAAGCTGCCATGTAGGAGGGCGAGTGAAAGTGTCTCGAACCTTAAGCTCTTGAGCATAAGTATTAGGCTGGTTGTGAGAGTTACTGCCCTGAAGCTGAGTAAGTTCAGGTGCTACTCTTACACCATTTCAGACTTAAATCTTGCCTCCAACATTTGTATATCAGACCGTGAGTCACTGTTTTTGCCTCCGTCAGAAAGGATATTTTCAAGGACCTCATGAAACTTTTATTTTCTTGTAGTTGAAAATTATTGTGAGTTATGCCAGTGTGTCTGACTTAAAAGGTCTTAGTACAAAAAAAGGCCAATATCAATAAGTACTATTTAAAAGGAAGAAGCAGTGTCTGAGGCTTACTTGTGAACTTTCCAGTTTGACTGACTTGCTGGAGATATTTTCTTTTGTTAGTTATGTGGATAATTTAAAAAACCTGGTTTCCCTGCTGTTGATTTTTATTCCTACTCATAGTTACCCTTTAGAATAGTATAGTTGCACAGTTTGGAATAGAAGGTTGTAAATCTGAATGAAATCACACCATACATTTCTCCTTTTGCCAACTAGTTAGAGTCATGCCACTAACCTTCTATAAGAAGCCAAACACTTAAATGGTATAATACTAGCACTTCTTTTTATTATAGTATAATATATACCTTTAAAACAGTATTAATATAAATTTTCTTTAATATACAATAAAATTGTTTTACTTTCCATCATGTCCATTTTGACCCATGTGTACACACTAGAAATGCTCCATAGAATAACAGATTTTTAAATTTTTTTTTGGTTGTAGATCCCTATGTCTATCTTAAAATCCATCAAGCTGTTGACTCTTACGGAATCCCTTCACTTTTTTTGCCAATCGGGGACTCCAGCCATGAGAGACTGTCTTTTGTAAAAGAAGGGAGAGAACTCAGGCAGGCTCAATTTTCTAATTGAAAACTTTCTCTCCTTAGCAGAACCAAAGCCACACATTTCCACCTGTTTCTCTTGCCTTCTGGCTTCCTGCTGTCAGAAGTTCCTCAGCCAACATGTTCTACAGTTCTTCCCAGGCTTCTGTGCAGGACATCACGTCCACCAAGGAGAATCCAACCCAGGTCCTCAGATGCAACAAGAAGCACAGGGTCCTGCTGAGATCTGTTGGAGTGAAAACACAGAATCTGAAAGTAGAGAAAAGCACACAGATGGAGGGACATGGGAGAGACCGAATTCAAAGAGATTTTCCAGACCACCAATGATGCAATCTGTCATCTCTCGAGAAAACAACACAGGGCTTGCTCTAGAGCCCACCTTTGTCCAAAGGATAAACTTTGTGGAAACAGAACAAAGGTGGAAGGAATTAGAATCCACAAGATTTGAAGGAATCAAATATGGAGAAGAAGCTCTAGACCATGAACTAAAATTAGCCCTCACCACAAACCTGAGGCCTCTATTCCTGGAGAAGCCACACATTTTCACAGAGTGTGGGAAGGGGTTTACCCAACACTCCACCCTCAACACACAGCAGAGCACACACTTGGGAGAGAAGACTTATATTTGCAAAGAGTGTGGTAAAGGCTTTAAGCACAAGTCACATCTCATCATACACCAGAGGATACACTCGGCGGTGAAGCCTTATGTTTGCCAGGAGTGTGGGCGAGCCTTTTCTCATAAATCGAATCTCATAAGACACCAGAGCACACACTCAGGGGTGAAGCCTTATGTTTGCAATGAGTGTATGCGACGCTTTGCCCATAAATCAAATCTGATAAGACACCACAGCACACACTCAGGGGTGAAGCCTTATGTTTGCAATGAGTGTATGCAAGACTTTGCCCACAAATCAAGTCTCATAAGACACCAGAGGACACACTCAAGGGAGAAGCCTTATACTTGCAAGGAGTGTGGACGAGGCTTTACTCAGAAGTCCTATCTCATCACACACCAGAGGACACACTCAGGGGAGAAGCCTTATGTTTGCAAGGAGTGTGGGCGAGGCTTTACTCAGAAGTCAAATCTCATTACACACCTGAGGATACACTCAGGGGAGAAGCCATATGTTTGCAAGGTGTGCATGCGAGTCTTTGCTCAGAATTCGTATCTCATAAAACACCAGAGGAGACACTCAGGGGTGAAGTCTTATGTTTGCAAGGAGTGTATGCAAGGCTTTGCCGAGAAGCCAGATTTCATAAGACATCAGAGGACACACTCGGGAGAAGCCTTATATTTGCAAGGAGTGTGGGCGAGGGTTTACCCAGAAGTCAATTCTCATCCCCCACCAGAGGACACACTCAGGGGAGAAGCCTTATGTTTGCAAGGAGTGTATGCGAGGCTTTGCCCATAAGTCAGATTTTAGAAGACACCAGCGGACACATGCAGGGTTGAAGCCTTATGTTTGCAAGGGGTGTATGCGAGGCTTTACCCAGAAGTCCTACCTTATCACACATCAAAGGACACACTCAGGAGTGAAACCATTTGTTTGCAAGGAGTGTGGGCAAGCATTTACCCAGAAGTCATATCTCATCATACACCAGAGGACACATTCAGGGGAGAAGCCTTATGTTTGCAAGGAATGTGGACAAGGCTTTTCTCAGAAGTCAAACCTCATTACCCACCAGAGGATACACTCAGGGGAGAAGCCTTATGTTTGCAAGGAGTGTGGGCAAGGCTTTACACATAAGTCAGGTCTCATCAGACATCAGAGGACACATGTAGGCATGTTGCACCTCTCTGACCAGCAGGAAAGTGCCTGGCGATGGAATGCACTAAAGACTTTAGTCAGTCCCGAGGTAAGGGGAGAGGAACTCATGGTTTAGTGTCCTCTTGACTGTATTCCTCATAGCTTTTATTTAAGAAGTTTTACGAGCTGAAAAGAATTTTGACCAGAGTCACAAGAGAAGATGTTACTTACCATTTCTTATTTTATTTGCTAATCCTTCCTATTAAGAAGGCCATGTCCATAGCTGAAATTTTGAGATAGCGAGAGAATGTTTTCTCTGAGATAAACACACATTGTTAAGGCAGAACACTGCCATCTACTCAATAACTTAACATTATTGTTCTCTTGAACAATTCAACATTTTCATTTAATGTTTTCCTTGAATTTCCAGTGTGCACTCAATAGAGTTTTTTTCTGTTTACATTATTTCAATTCAAGCAACCCTGAATCTGGTTAGCTTATCCCTGAGATCTCCCCCTGCTTATTTTTCTTCTATGGCTTCTTCCATCTATGGCTTCTTCTAGCCACATGAACCAGACTTAATGTTTTTCATGCTTCATCTGCAGGCATTTCAGGGCAGTTACAGTTTTCCAGATTACTAGAATTAAAAGCAGACCAATCAAACCCATTCTTCCAACCAGAGCCCATCTTTTATGTGTTACTCCAGTTACCCAGTTAGCTGGATTTCAGAACTGAAAAGAAGTTTGCACATCTTTTTTTTTTGTTTGCACATCTTTTAACACTTTTGTTTTTAAGTGTTGCTGAATAATTTGGATTTGCAATTCTTGTGTCAAGGAGGTAACTTCCTGGATTTGTTTGAAAACTTGTCATCTTCTTTTCATTTTTTTTCCCCCAGTTATTTTGAGAACTGTTATAAGGAAGAGAAGTAACACAAATATGTTCATGTTGCCAATCATGTTTTCAAATAGCTTCATGTTATTAAAGCTTGTTTTTGTCTTCAAGCCACAATTGTCTCTAGAGCCTACAACTGGTTTTGAATTCCTTTATCAATATCAATTTATTTAATCATGGCTTGAATAGTAGTAGCCAAAACATACTCTACTACTTCAGCAATAGGTATAGATTCTGTTAAAGCTATTTCTACAATAGTGGCAGTATCTGTCAATAATTGCAGGTATAAGAAAAGCACTAAGAGTAATTAAGTATCTCTAGGGCATAAGAGCTCCTTTTTGGTTCCATCAGTTGTCGTTTTTAAGGCCTCTTATAAGGTACATAATTCAGAAGGTTCCTGCCAGGGTCAAGTGAGATTAACAGGAACCCAGACCTCTGCCATTCTTCTTAGAGGCATAATCATGACATTTTGTTGGATTATATTTTGATAAAATAATATACCAAGCAGTAGAAGACACAGTAACTTCATAACTGGTGTTCTCCTTTTCAATTGTTAGAGATTCAGAAGACATTAATTAAACAAAGGGAAGTGGCACACATACCATGACTTCTTGGGAAATATTTTTGTGTAAGATTTAAATTATAAGCAGAATTCTGATAAAAATAATGGCCATGGAATAAATTTCTTTGAAAGAAAGGGAAGTCCTAGTCTCCATAAGTTCATATGCCAGGAACTGTGTGTGCTTTGCGATTTCATTCCTAAAACAGGTCCAGACAAAGCTGCACTTCACCAAGATAGTCATTTGAAGGAGAATGAAAAACGTTATGATTGTGGGAATGCAAAGTTCCAGTGGGTGCCCACTTCGCCAAATCAAAATCCATATAAATTTGACTTGTACGTACTTGCATTTTCCAAGGGATCCACTGGATAGAATTTAAAAAGTATCTGTACCTTTCTTTGATATCACTTCTAGGAATATTGGGAACCATTAACTTGGCCACATGGCAATCAGGTCAAGACTGGTAATATGTTCTTGAATGGTAAACTGTACCCCGGAGGAATTTGATTCTAACATGGCAATACAGATAGGGACAGTATCAGCATGAAAAAGGGGTTTTTTTTTGGGAGTTTTGTTTTTTCCTGTTGGTATACCATCGAATTGGATCCGACTGGTACAGGAGGAGATTTTCCTTCAGCGTAGCATCTGGTGCATTCAAACCTCACACCTTCAGGATTGCAGCGCAGGAAAAATGGTATTTTTTTACATGAATTTCTCCTGTGTGATTTTCCAGAGGTGGTTTTGGAGGAACCCAGATACCTCCTGTCCACCCAGGGTCAGTGGTTTATAGAGGGTGCTGTGGATCTCACCAAGGGACAGGCTTAAGTAAAGGTGGGGAAGCAACCTGAGCCCCATATTCATCAGTTTGTTCGGGAGGAAATAATTAAAAGAGACATCAGTGGAGAACCAGCAGAACTTTATCTGGGAAATATGATGAAGGCTACTAAGAATAGGAAACCAAAACTCTACAGTTTGAGTTTGAGAGTTTTTGTCTCATTTACAAAAATACACCTATAGATGTGCTAGCAACCCAAAGACATGCAGTTTGAATACTCCAGCTGCTTTATCTCTGAAAACCCACTAAAGCCTTCCATCTTTTAAAAAAATTTTTTTTTTATTATTTTGTGTGTACCGTCAAATCGGATCTGACTGGTACAGGAGGAGATTGTCCCTCCTTCTCCAGCAGAGAATCTGGTGGATTCAAACAGCTCACCTCTGGGATTGCAGTGCAGCTTCTTGCCACTAGGCCACCAGACCTTGTCCATCTTTTTTTTTTTTAATGCTCCCAGCATTATTCAAGATTTCCCCCATAGCATCTCTCAGTATTTCAAGAGGCTTGAGTTTGTTTTTCAGTTCTTGTAACTTTAAAAATGCTGAGCAAGTGCTTCCCTTTTCCTTCTCCATGCCCAGCTGTTTATCCTGTATGGTACTGGTTTTCCAGAGCTGCCCTTTGAAAACTGTTCAGCTCTTTTCTTTCAGCATCTTTTCCCTTCGTTTTGTCTGCTCTGCTCTCCAGTACAATTTTCAGCGTCTCTTCTGACATCCACTTTCGGGTTTTTAATTTTTTCTCTATATAATGATCTATAACTCTCATCAGGATCCAGCTATTGTTTACCATTCAGCCTGAATTGACTCATAATGGACCCTCCAGCTGGTTTTCAAGGTAGTAAATCACATGGGAGGAGAAAGCCCATCTTTCTTCCTCAGAGCAGCTGGGGGTTTAAACTGTGTGTCTTTGGTATGACAGCACACATCCTCACCTAAATCCAGAATGTGTTGGCTCCAGCATCCCGTGAGCCCAAGAACTGCCCGTCCTCTTTGGTTTCGGACAGGACTAGGTGCCATAATATCCTTAATTTAGTTGTAATAGCTTGACATGCCCACATTGCTACACTCCTACAAATTCCATGAAGGTGGAGGATGATTGGAATTTTGTTGGATTGAGTTGCCACCCTGTAGCTTGCAATTCTCTTTCCCATAAGTTTAGAGTCACTGATGACATTGGATTTGAGCCCCTGAGAAGCACAGTCTTTGTTTTAGTAGGACAGCTCTGTGCACTGTGTCACCAGCACTCCCATTACAAGGTACCCTTGACCTCATTGGGCTATTCTTTTGAACTATCATATCTCTTCCTGGGACATGATTTACAGTATAGCTTTGGGGCACAGAGATATACAGGGACTTAACTCTATGAGTCCTGATACAAAAATCGGTGGTCGAAGAATTCTTGGAAACAGCCATGTCACTGACCACAGCATTTCATCTGGACTGAAACAACCGGGTGGGTATAGGTGGACTGGTTCAAAAGGATTTAGAAACTCAGCATTTCCAGCTTCCTGATTGTCTTCTCATACGTCCCAGTCCTGATTCTGAGACTCACAGGTAGCATTTACCCCAATACATTCCAGAGCAGGAAACAATTGATTAGAAGGATAATGAAAGTCTGAATTACTAGGAAGAAATAGGAAAAGTTCAGTTATTGTCACAGTAGCATAATTGTTTTAAAGTGTGTACTAATGAGAAACCAACATTGCTCAAACCACAAGAATAACTAAAAAATTGCTACTTACACATACAAACCTGTTGGTATCCCATTGATTCCTGGGGCCTTATTTTTTGCCAGTGCCTCCAGTGCAGCTCCTACTTCCTCCAGTACCATTGGCTGCTGTTCATATGGTACTTCCTGAAATTTTTCCAGTGTCAAATTCTTTCTGGTATAGTGACTGTATTCCCTTCATCTTCTTTTGATGTTTTCTGGGTCATTCAGTATATTGCCGGTAGCATTGTTAAGTGTTGAGATGAGGCTTTTAAATTTGTTTTTCAGCCTAAGAAATACAGAGTATTTTTTATTCTCCAATTTCAGCTCTGCACATTCCATTATAATACTTTTGCTTTGTCCTCTCAAACTGCCCTTTAAAATCTTTTGTTTAGCTCTTTCACTTGGATATATTTTCCTGTCAACAGCTTTATCTTGCTTGGATCCACAGTTAATACCAGCAGTCAGGAAATAAAGAGACACATTGCACTGGGAAAATCTGCAGTTAGGGACCTTTCCAAATTACTAATGATGTCGGTTTGATATGATATGGCATCTGATTCATGCCATAGTCTTTCCAGTTGCTTGCTGTGCATCTCAGAGCTGGACAATAAGGATGACGGGGAAAGAATTGGTGCCTTTGAGCTGTGGTGTTGGGAGAAGAGCACTGAACATCTCATAAACGGCCAAGACAACAGATAGGTCTTGGAGAAGGTGCAGCCAGAGTGCAAGAATGACAAAATTTAGGAATGTTTTTAAGAGAAACTATTCCTTGGAGAAGGACATGATGTTGGGAAGGGTGGAGGGATGGCAAAGAAGAAGAAGACCCTTGACCAGGTGTCTTGCAATGGACTCTTGTGTATCAGGAAGTAAGGGGATGAGTCATACTCTACGGCACTTAACAAAAATCTATACATACAAAGATACTGAGTTTCTGACCCTTTGAGTGATAAATCCTTTAAGAAATAGAAGACTACATGGAAAGCTTTGATAGTGTCAGATTCAAAGGAAACAAAGTTGTAGCCAAATTTTAAATTGTAATCATAAAACTCTGTCCTATTCGGATCCGCCAGAGGCTCTGCTGGAGAAGGAGGGGCAATCTGCACCTGTCAGATAGGATTTGATGGTACACAAACACATTTTAGAAAAACTCTGCCCTAATAAGTTTTCCTTGTTGACTATCAAACCACTGACATAAAATTTAATTCAAAATTTCTGATTATTTTATACACATTACAGTAATCCAGAAATCCTTTTGTGTGTCTTTAATAGAAAAAAATAATTTGTCACTCCATAGAAGTTCACACGTGTCAGGTATTTATATTGGTCACTGGCAAAGAATTTATAAACAAAAGATTTTCAAAGCCATGTTAGTATGTTTGATTCCCCACCCCAACCCCAGTGCCAAGTGCCTTTAATTCACATCTAAGTAGAGAGTGCATTTCTCCATAATTATAGTATGTAAATTATTTTAGGTTGTCTATACACAAAGTTTTTGGAAGCAGGGGTGACATTCACTTCCTAAACAACATACCTCTGGAAACTATGAACTCTGATAAATGTCGATAGTTACAGAAAGGCTTCAGTCCTATTCATAGGGTCACTGTGAGTCATGCTCGACTTGACGGCAATCAACAACATACACAATGGGGAGCTCTGGTGGCCTAGTGGCAAGAAGCTGCAACTACAATCCCAGAGGTGCACGGTTCGAATCCACCAGATGCTCTGCCGAGGAAGGAGGGGCAATCTCCTCCTGTACCAGTCAGATCTGATTTGACAGTACACGACCACAAAAAAATAATAAAAATTTAAAAAAAAAACCAACATACACAAAGTAGAGAAATCTTAAGGCATGTAGATGCCTGGGACAGGGCATGTGCGTTGAATGGTGAGCTTTGGCCGCAGTGACCTGTTGGGGATCTCCTCCTCTGGGGCCTGATTCTCCGTCTGGTGCCTCTGCACAGTTCTCTTCTCCTATAAGTCTTCAGACTCGATGGGGCTCTCCTACATTCCCCCACTGCGTCCTGAGATGTCAGTGACTTTGACGGCTGTGACCCAAAGAAACTCCTTGAGAATCTGGGTTGGTCTGGGTGGCAAACATGCACTGGACATGGTGTAGAAGAGGGAACTTATGTATCTGCTGAGCAGAGGCCCCAAGCCGCCATACCTGGCAGACGCGGCCTGCCGCCTGTAGTATGATTTTTGGTTTTTTTTTTTTCTATAATTATATTTTATTAATTTTCATAAACATTTACAGAGATTTTGGGCTTCCACTCATTCATTCTTGCACTATTCTCTCCACCCTCCTCCCAGGGTGTTCTTGTCCAAATGCCACAGTGCTTGTCAAAGCCAGTTCTGATTAATCTTCCCTGTCAGTGTATCCTTTGCCATTCCCTATCACTCCTCCCTGAGAGAGACTTCACCCTGAGTCATAAGGAAAAGGGGACGGCGTATTCTCTTAGCTACTTCCTGCTGAAAAGGGATTTTTGGTTTATTTTTTAATTTTATTATTGTGTGTGTGTGTGTATACCATCCAATTGTATCTGACTGATACAGGAGGAGATTGCCCCTCCTTCTCCAGCAGAGCATCTGGGATGTGTTTTTAATGTAATAACTTGACTACAATTCAAACTTGATCTTTGATCTTCCAGGCATTTTACATAAAAGCTGAGTTAACTCTTCAGGCTAACAGTCAAAGAAAAGGTGGTTAT